GAATGGCTGGTGGGTTTGAACCGCCAGCCTTCTGGTGAGCAGTCAAGTGCCTTAGGCACTATACTCCCAGCTTCTGATCTCTACTCAGCCCAATTCGAATTCCCAGCCCAGCCATTAGCTGCTACCAGAGATCTCAGCTTCCTGCCACAGAACCTACACACGGCTTCCCAAAGCTTTCAAACTTCCGCGTCCCATCCTTGCTCCACCCACAGCCCACCCCCACCCCTGGCCCCACTCACATATTCAATTCTCATTCGCTTGGCCCTTAAAGGCGCGTCCTCCCCTCAGCCCCACCCCCTTGGGCCTAGTTCCTTTCCCACCTCACCCGGACGTGTCCCATCCCTAAACTCACTGGCCCTCCCAAGCGCAGCACTGTAACCCCAGCCCCACACAGGACCACATCCTCTTCCTTCCGCACCCTCCTCCCCCTTAACGCCCCCAGCAGGAGGAAGACACCACTGCGTCCTCTGCCCCGCCCACTCCCCGCCCGCCCCGCCCACTGCCCCCACCTGCGGCTGCCTCAGACCCCTCCTCCTCTTCAGCTTTCAGGCTTCCCGGGAGACTGGGCCCGCTCTCCAGGGAGGCGGGGGCCGGCTGGTCGCCTCCTGAGGAAGGGGGAGGCCCAGTCAGCCCCCACCCTTATGTACAGCCCCCACCCCAAGACAGCCGCCCTGAGGGAACTAGAGGGGGCTCAAGGGGAGTGTCATTTGAGGATGTCAGTGCTTTATTGGGAAGGGCCTGGGTCAAAGGCAGGATTGGGGATGGGCATTCCAGAGATGGGAGGGAGAAGACAGGCTGCCCTCCTCAACGGCCAGGGCTGTGGGCGCAGCTGGCGGGGTCCTGGGGCCCAGCCCCCCAGGGTCCCTTCCCGCACACCCACAAACAGGCAGCTTCATGCATCCCGGAAAGGCCAGGCCTCACCCGGAGACGGGGCGTTGGCCGGGTGAGTGGTCCGAGGGGAGTTCAACTCCATCTCTTCACCCCAGTCAGACACAGGCTGGTGACCCCCGGGGGGCGAGAAGGGGCTTGTGGGCGTGGCAGGGGCCTGGGCCAGCAGCAGGGGCTCCTGGGAAGGCGCGGGGTTGGCTGGCTCATTGGCGGGGTGGCCGGCAGGGTCGGCCTCCTGGGGGCCGTGCTCCCCCTCCTCCTCCTCAGCAGGGTCTTCTTCCTCTTCCATCTCCTCCTCACTTATGTCCTCCCACTCCCCGTCCTCCTCATCCTCCCCGTCTCCCCGGTCCCCCTCATCCTCGGGAGGATGGAGGGCAGGGGCCGGGACCTCGGGTGGCTGCGGGGGACATGAGGAAGGTCAGAGGGTGCCGGGGCCTTGGCACCCACACGCACCCCGGCCTCAGGACGGGGGCCCAGGAGTACCTGCGTGTGTGGCTCCTCGGGGGCAGTGGCCTGGGGGGGCTCGGGGGCCGGAGACGCCGTTTCCTTGGTCTCCCAGCGGTCATCGTGGTCGCTGGAGGGGGCAGGGGAAGGGGTGAGGCCCAAGTGGGAGGAGGAGCAGCTACAGAATTCAGCCAGGGGCAGGGGCTTGGGGGGTTTGAGCATGGGGACCCAAGCTCGGAGCAGTAGGCAGTGAGGACAGATGGAAGTGGGGGGCCAGGCGGCAGAAGGCGAGATAGGGAGGGACAGGGGAGAGTTAGTAGAAAAACCAGACCCCAACTCGCCAAAACCAAGGGCCAGATCGACAGAGATGAGACAGGCCCAAGACCAACACACAGACACACAGACATGGACAGAGACGACGTAACATACACCCACACCAACACCAAAAGAGACAAAGCCGCTGCGGTCGAGTCAGCTCCGACCACGGACCCCAGGTATCACAGAGCAGAACTGCTCCCTGGGGTTTTCACCGGCTTTGACTTTGACAGAAGCAGATAGCCAGGACGTTCTTCTGTGGTCCCATGGGTGGGTCAGACTGCCGTCAGGTTAGCAGCTGATCGAAAACCACCCCCGGAGCACACAGACATCCACAAGTCAACACAGAGAGGGACAGAGGCCAGAGCCACAGCTCCGCCAGGGACGTGGATGTGCTGGGGGCAGAGCGCTCACCTGTAGGCCCGGGGGGCTGCCTTGGCCTGGGGCCGGCTGCTCTTTCTCCGCCTGCGGCTGCCGATCTCAGCTTTGTGCTGGGACAGGAACTCCCCGAAAGTGGGAGGTTTGGGGGGTCGGACCCAGGGCTGGTCATCTACAACAGAGCCCAGGAGCTGTCTGGGATCTGTGGTCCCAGACACCTCCCCACTCCCCACAGCCCAGCCCAACCGGCTGCCCCACCCAGATCCAAGGCCAAGAACTCACCATAGCGGTGGGATGGTTCAAGGGCAGGGGCTGGACTTTCCTTGAACCTGGAGAGAGAGAGAGAGTGAGAGAGAGAGAGACAGAGGATGAGCTGGTGGCTGGAGAAACAGGGAACAGGGAGGTAGGAGGAGAAGAGAAAGAGAGGGACAGGGCAGGGTTAGAAATTAGGACCAGAGGAGAGATGGCCAAACATGGGGTCACTGATGACAAGAGAGACTGGATTAAGTGACGGGCAAGAGGCAAATATGAGATCGCAGTCACCGGCACAGAGACAGGTTTGTGACCTGGGTTCTCCTACTACACCCACTGCTGCCTCAGGGCCTTTGCACCCGCTGGTCCCTCTGCCTGGAACACTCTTCCCAGATGTTTCGGTGGCTTGCTTCCTCACCTCCTTCAGGCCTCAGCTTCAAGGAAGAGGCCTTCCCTGAACCCCCACCCACAATCGAAAATAATCATCCCCATGCTTCCCTATCTCCATGCTCTGTTTCATTACCCTTCAAAATGAACAGACCAAACCTGCAAGTGGTCCTCGACTTACTACAGGGTGCCGACATGGTTCCGCTGTAAGTCAGTTCTGATATAAGTTCAAATACCATTTTTTTTTTTAAGTTTTCATTATTATTGCCTGTTATTATCAGCATCTTCATAAATTTCTGTTTATTTTTAGGGGTTGGAAACATTACATATAAACATATAAATACTTTCATACATACAATATTTTTTTAAATAGGGGGAACTCTGGTGGCATAGTGCCTAAGGCATTTGACTGCTAACCAGAAGGCTGTCAGTTCAAATCCACCAGACACTCCTGAGAAGGAAGGTTGGGCAATCTACTTGCGTAATAATACTGCCTCGGAAACCCAAGGAGGGGCCACTATGAGTCGGATCCAACTCGACAGCACTGAATTTGGTTTTCTGGTTTTAGTTTTTAAAATACACAAATCATAAAAAAAAAGGCTGTCGTAAGTACAGTTCATTGTAACTCGAATGTATCGTAAGTCAGGGATGACCTGTATTCATTACCCATCTTCCCCCTAGATGGTAAGTCCCATGAAAGCAGAAATGTTTTGTTCACTGCTATATCCCCATCATCTAGAACCTTCTGTGACACATAGAAGGGAATCAATGTATCTGTTCATAAAGTCAATGGACACATACATTAGTTGACTTTTGGGAAAGAAGGCTAATAAACAGACTGCTTTTGGGAAACAAGGGGAAAAAGAAATCACTTCCTCATCCTTAACCCTGTCCCCCAAAAGCCCAGCCACCTCCATCTTGGAGATGGACTACCACATGGACACAGATAGCTGTCATAATTGCAGAAGCTTAGCTCACAATCCAAAATACGCTCCCACCTCCCAGGCAAAGGGACACAATCTTCTCTCTTTATTCAGAACCCAGAGTAAAGGTCAGTAACTGTGCTGGTTGAGGTTGGAGGACTCCCTGAGACTATCGCTCTCAGATACTTCAAATTTTGAACCGAAACTAAGCTGTGCTCACCTTGCAGCTAAATAACAAATTGGCTAAAAACATACTGAATCTCACCCGTAAGTACTGTGCTCACTTAAAAAAATCGCCTACAGGAAACCAGTCAGTCACCAATTACTTTCAAACAAAGATGAGCATGTAAAGGAGCAGGGAGACTAGATGAATGCAAACAGGACCACCAGAATGGAAATCACAAGCATGTTTGCACACAGTGAAGAATGGGACCAGTGTCACTGAGACAACTTGCGAAGAAACTGTTGACTGGGAGAGCCTACATTTCTGGGCAAACCTTCACCCAAATTATTATTTTAAAAAATAAGAAAGAATAAAGTTAAGAGGTATATGAAAACTCCCAACCCCTCCGAGGACAGGGGAGCAGAGGGAAACCTATCAGAAAGAAACCTATCGGCTCTTCCCGAATCTTCTCCCAAAGATGGAGAGCCAGTCTCCCTGTCAGTGACACAATGACACCTTTAAGTTTGACTGACTGAACGTTTTCTTGGACCCAAACGGGAACAGTCAGACTTGATAGAAATAACCCCACAGGGTAAGATGGCAGCAAGTCATGGAGGGTGTTGGGTGGTTGGGGGACAGGTTGGATGTATGTGGGAGGGTGCAAGGGTCCAATCGCTGTTAGCGAATTCTCACCCCCTCCCTACATTAGAGTTTACAGCCATGCCCTTGGTCACACATTTTCCAGTTGCATACACTAGGGCAGGCAACACTACCTCCCCAACCCAGAGACGTTGAGTCTGCAGACATGTGTGCACCTGCCCTCAGGTGCGTCTCAATGCCACGACAAGCATGTCCCCAGTAGCTACTGCCCCCCGCAGCCTGAGCCCCAAGATTGGCACCCGTGGACCAGAGCCAAGCTCAGCCTGCAGCAAGGAGCCAAGCCCAGCTGGGCCCAGGCTGATCTGCTGAACCCAGCCGCCCTGAGAGGACAAGAGAACTCAGTGCTGCTATTTCATGTGACTGAGACCTGGTGGGGGTTACACAGCACGACCACAGCATTTGCTAACTGATCGGGTGAGAAACCAGAGAGTAAGTCAAAGCAGTTAAGAGTCAGGGCCAAGGTCAAGGAGCCAGAGAGGGCAAGCGAGGAGGACACTCACATCCCGTCGGTCTTCTCGGCATCCCACTCCCGCCGCCACTGGCCAGTGGGCTTCCGGTGCCGCTGCAGCCGCTCCTGGTCGATCTTCTCCCGCTCCTGCTTCCAACGCAGGTACTCCAACCGCTCCCGGCCCGTCATGGACAGCGTCATGTCACCAGCGCCTCCCAGGCCAGCCCGGCGGCCCTGCCCCCCGACCAACAGCCAGTCAGGACCCTGCCCTGATCTCCCCCCCACCCCCGACCCCAGCCCTTGTAAACTCAGAGAGGTGGAGCCACTGCCCAAGGCCACACAGGGAGGTGATGGGCCAAAGGTTAGAACAGGTCTGCTCCCATAGCACCTCTTCCAGGAAGCCATCCCAGATCTCTCCTTCTTAAGCACACCCCTGCGGACCCCATCTCAGTGCCCTCACCCTGCTTGATTTTCCTTCTCCACAACTGGCACTACCTGACCGTCACATAAATGCAGTCCCCAGCTTATGGCAGGGTTGCATTCCAACCACTCCATCATAAGTCGGTTCTGCTGTAACTCGAATACGTCACTTTTTGGGGTTTTCATTATTACTGTGTCCTAACAATTAAGTTGGGGTCATGAAACCTGTTGGCCGTGTGCACAGTTCAAGTGTCACATGCTGTTGCAGGGGATCACTGCCCAACTTTCTATCCATTATGACGCCCAACACCGACCCCGACTTCACTACAGACCAGGCCAGAACCTGCTCCACGGAAGCGTTCTCAACAGTAAATGTTAACACCCGAATGTCAGTCAGTGGACATCTGAGGAGGGCAACGCCAGCAAATTACGCGTGCAACCCTGTGCGCGATATAAAACAGTAAGACGTGCGAAAAACAGAACACAAAAAACGGGTGGTCGTTAAGTGCAGTCCTTCATAACTCGAACATGCTGTAAGTTGGGGACTACCAAAACCCAAACCCACCGCCGTCAAGTCGATTGTAACTCATAGCGACCCCACAGGACAGACCAGAACTGCCCCAGAGGGTTTCCTAGGCTGTCGATCTCTACAGAAGCGAAGTCCTAACCAAACTGAAACCCACTGCCATGAAGTTGATTCTGAGTCACAGCGTCCCTAGAGGACAGAGTGGAACCGCACTACAGGGTTTCCAAGGCTGCCAATCTTCATGGAAGCAAAGCCCTAACCAAACCCATTGCCTGGATTCTGACCCACAGCGCCCCTAGAGGACAGAGTGGAACTGCCCCACAGGATCTCCAAGGCTGTCAATCTTCACAGAAGCAAAGCCCAAACCACACCCACTGCCGTGGAGTCCATTCTGACTCACAGCGCCCCTAGAGGACAGAGTGGAACTGCACCACAGGGTTTCCAAGGCTGTCAGTCTTTACAGAAGCAAAGCCCAAACCACACCCACTGCCGTGGAGTCCATTCTGACTCACAGCGCCCCTAGAGGACAGAGTGGAACTGCCCCACAGCGTTTCCAAGGAGCTCCTAATCTTCCTGGAAGCAGCTTGCCACATCTTTCTCCCACAGAGTGGCTGGCTGGTGGGTTCAAACTGCCAACTTTTGGGTTAGCACCCGAATGCTTTAACCACTGCACCCCCCCAGTGCTCTTTTTAATAAGGAAGATAAAGTGCAGCGGCCCTGGCGGGCCTTGCCCACGGCTGCCCCGGAGCAGTGGCAGGCGCACAGGACGCACTCCATCAACACGCTGCTCGGAGAACTGATGCAGGACCCACGTTGCCTGGGGACGCACGGCCAGCACCCACCTGCCGCTCATGCTCCAGGCCGCAGCGCACGCGCTCGAAGTCGGGGCCTCCCCAGTTGCGCCCGTGCCGGCGGCTGCCCTCCCGACGGTCCCGCTCCGGCTCCTCCAGGGGCCCGCTGCGCCGCCGTGGGTCGTCCAGGAAGTTCCGCACAGGGTTGGGCTCCAGCACCCCCTCCTGCAGGCAGGCACAGGGTGCAGATGTTGGCAGGCTGGCGGGCAGCTGAGCTGAGCCGCGTGCCCGCCACGGGACCCGGGCACTGACCCTCTGGTTGCGCTCGTACTCTGCGATCTTCTCCATCTCCTCGTTCATCTTCTCGATGTTCTGTCGGCGCCGCTCCTCCCACTCCTGGCAGGACACAGACAAGACGCCCACCTGAGGCAGCCGCACGCAACCCGGGGATTCGCTGCTGTCTGGGCAGGGAGACAGCTAACGTGTGTTCACAACGGTCAACCCTGTTCACCCAAAGCACAACAACGAAACTGAAAAACAGTTCAACAGAACTACCATGGGACCCAGTGATTCCACTCCTGGGTAAATCCAGATTTCCAAGCAGGGACTCAAAGAGAAACTCGTCCTCCAACACCACTGCAGCCCTCACTACACACAGCAGCCACGCAGCCCAAGGTCCATCGACAGACGGACTGAGAAACGACGTGTGGTACACACAGGCACACTCGTGTCCTCTGCTCTGCTTTACTGCGTCTCCACAAACTGCGTGTTTTTACAGATTGAAGGTGTGGCAGCCCTGCGTCAAGCAAGTCTATTGGCACCATTTTCCCAACAGCCTGTGCTCGTGTTGTATCTCTGCGTCCCATCTGGACCATTCTCATGGCAGTTCAAACTCTTTCACCGGTCTATTGCACACCTGTCAGACCACCACCACCACCGAGCTCATTCCAACTCAGCAACCCCCACTGCATTTCCAAGGCTGTCAATCTTTACGGAAGTAGACTGCCGCATCTTCCTCCTGCAGAGCTGCTGGTGGGTTTGAACCACTGACCTTCTGGTTAGCAGCCAAATGCCTTACCCACTATGCCACCAGAGCCCCTTTAACAGACCACCAAAGTAAACTACATTGTCTTGTAAATATAACTTTTGTATGCACTGGGGGAAACAATGTCCGTGTGACTCGCTTTACTGTGACATTCACGCCCTTGGGGAGGCCTGGACCCACGGTCTCCCTCTATGACCAGTGAAGTGTTATTACTCAGCCATCAAGAGGCATGGAAGGGAATGATGTTTGGACACACGCTACAACACGGATGAACCATGAAAACATTATGTCGAGCGAAAGAAGCCAGACGCAAGCCACGGGATGAGTATCAGTATCACCCCATTTATAAGCAATACCAAGAACAGGCAAAAGCCTGGGGGCAAAGGGACCGGAAGGGGAGGGGGCCGTGACTGCTGACGGGGCGCTGGCTTTTGCTAAAGGGGACAGAAAAATCTGGAAATAGTAGTAGTGCTGGGTGCACAATACGGTGAATGGAACGTCATTGCACCGTGTGTACAAAATGTGTCGAGGTGGCAGATATTCAGCTACGTATGATTACACCACCACCAAAAAGAGATACCACATCAGAGGACACTGAGCTGCTGCTAAGGGTGAGGGGAAAGTCAGGAACCATGATGGTGACAGTTAAGTAACATGATGAACGTATTTAATGTTGCTGAACTGCACACGTGAAGACTCTTGAGGTAGTAAATGTTTGTTACCCATGTGCTGGTCACAATCTTTAAGCCTGCCGTCTTGGAAAGGTCTGCCCTTGACTGGCACCAGCGGCTGACTGTATGAAAGGTTTCCTGTGCCCACAGAGTCTATGTGAACAACACGGTGGGTAATGAACACCTCTTCTTCTGGGAGTCTGGAACTCGGGTTCATGCCAGGCAGAGGGTGGTTACAGGACCGGGCCCTGATAAAAAAGCTGGGCAGGGTGTCTCCACTGAGCTTCCCTGGTGGACAGGTCACACGCGCTGTCCCAACTTGTTGCCGCGGGAGTTAGCATCCCAGCTGACTCCACAGGGAGAGAACTCTGGAAGCTTGCTCCTGGTTTCCCCGGGACTCCACCCGCACCTTTTCCCTTCCCCGATCTTGTGTCGTATCTTTTCACTGCAGCCAATCTCGGCTGTGTGTCCAACTATATGCTGAGTCCTGGGAGTCTTTCCAGAAAACCAGTGAGCCTGGGAGTGGCCCTGGGGACCCTGACACCCACCACTGCCACAGTAATGACAATAATAACAGTGATGATGACTTGGCAGACGGCTTGCAGACCTCCGACAACACACTCTCTCCTTCTTCCACGGAAACAGCATTTTAGATGAGCACGTGGCCAACCCGCCAGAGATGACGGTTTCATTACCCAGCCTCCCTTGCAGCTAGCTGTAAGCCAGGTGTCTGGGTTTCCCCCAGCAGAACATGAGGAGTGGTGAACGTGAACGTCCTATGCGTCCCATGAACTAGAACTCAACACTGTCGGCAACATGGCTTCGACTGTGTGGGCCAGGACCATACCCTCAGGAACTAAACAGCAAGGAAGCAGGGACCTGCGTCCCCGGATGTCACCACAGAGCAGGACCTCCCTACCTCTCCTCGGGGCTCACCTTCATTAAGCCGTGATGGTTCAGGGCCCTTCTGTTACAGCCCCTTGGTGTGTGCAGGTAACAAACACCCACAGGTGGGATTTCCTGAGAACTTACTCTGTGCCAGGCACCATACTAAGAGCTTCAATGCCCAAAGTCAGGATGCTTATAATAACCTTCAAGTTAAATCAACACTGCCATCCGAAAGCAAAAACCCAGACACCCACAAAGAGGAAGTAAGTAGCCTAAGGACACACAACTAACAGAACCAGGTTGTAACCAAGTCCATGGAGGGGTGGGAGCCACTATGCAAGACAGCCTCCCACCTTCTCACCTGTGTGCGTGCGTGCGTGTGTGTGCGTACGTCGGGGGCAATTACATTAAAAACCTCGCTCCCCACAAACCATCCAGGGAAGGTGACAGATACAGAGAGAGCAAGACAGAGCTCCCACACCCAAGCACTACAGACAGACAGGACAGAGAGACAGACAGACAGCACTCAGAGACAGACGGACGGGACACAGACAGATGGACAGACAACATGCAAAGACAGAGAAACAGCATGAGAGACAGACAGACAAGGCGCAGAGACAGAGGGACAGAACCTGCAGAGAAACACAGGGCACAGAGACAGACAGACAGGGAGCAGAGACAGACAGACAACATGCAGAGACAGACCAACAGGGCATGCAGATAGATGGCTAGGACATAGAGACAGACAGGCAGACATGAAGACAGGTTATAGAGACAGACGGACAGGGCTCAGAGGCAGACAGACCGATAGCACACAAAGACACAGAAAGGGTGCAGAAACAAATGGACATTTGCATGGACACACCAACAGCAAGAAGAGGGATGGAGAGAAAGTGACAAGGGGAGAACAAAGGGGAGCAGGTTTGGGGGGGAAGCAGACA